TCTATGATCGTATTGATACAGCAATATTTGTTGTTACTTGATATAACATAAGCGTCGATAGCCTAATGGTTAAGTGTATGTATTTCCGATCACGAGGTCGCGGGTTCGAATCCCGACATTCGACTATTGTCGAAAATCGTGTCCTAGCACAAGCATAGAGCTTAGTTGGATTAATTAACAAATATAAGGACAATATTTATTGAACTATAACCATGTTAAAACAACCAAACTTAATACCAATTATTGCCTAAGTTCGTAGATCTTGATAATCAGTTTTTTGAGTTCTATTTTATTCCATTGCTAAGGGATAAAGTAAATAATACATTTATTTAAAACATCGGTAGCTATGGTTAATACATCATCCTAGTTTAAAAACTTCTAAACATTAAGATATTTAAATCAGGTTATTGTATTGTCCATGTTCTATTCAAACGTAGTAAATTCATTTGAAGACTGTAATAGGGAAAGTTGAGACAATAGAAGCAGTACGGTTGTATTGAATCTGCAAATATCAAGAACTACTCGTATCTTAGAGTAAAAGAGTGACGAAGTTTTTCAATCTACCAGCGTCTGTTCCGGCTCCTGCCAAATTGATTTAAACTTCGAATATTGCTCAAAGCCGCATCATACAATAAAGCTGTTATTTCAACATAATTTTAAACAATTTTAAAGGCAGATTAATTTACGATAACGTCGTTTTTTTATTTTAATCAGGAGTGAAGCAAAACAGCCACATGATACTTAGAATTGTCTACACGTTTGAGAACTTTTTAGGTTTTATTTCCATCTTTTGAATGGATATTTTGAAATGAATGTGAGAAGTAATTCAATTTAGCTTCGTGCTCGACAACTATGATTAACTTTTACTCGCAATTGAAAAAACTGGCCATCTATATGATTGGCTATAACATACTCATTTATCGGAGTTTTTTATTTTATTTCCTTAGCCCAGCGAGAAGCTATCGATAAGGTTAATGTTTTACTCCAGCGTATTTTTTTATCATTTCATAGTTCAAGATTATATCTTTGATGTATTGTTTTATTTTAATTCGACGGACAGGCGCTCTGCGGTCGACCCTTGTACAGGAACATTTGCATAGGACAACTCTTAACGTGAAAGCTTGTTGGATCATACAAATATAACGAACACGACCTACGCCTACAACTTTATATGACAAATATTAAAAGAAATTGATATATATCACTCACTCTATCAGCTCACTATATGTCCCCACTGAGGGGCTCGGAGCCTACCCTATATTACGGGTGACTAGGCCATAGTCAACCACGCTGGTCCAGTGCGGGTTGGTTGACTTCACACATATCTTTGAATTCCTTCTCAGATATGTGCAGGTAGCATCACGATGTTTTCTTTCACCGTAAAAACGTCGGATAAATGTACATATGTAAATCGAAAAACATGTTGGTACATGGCGAGATTCGAACCCAGGACCTGCAGATTGCAAGTCAAGTGCTTAAACCCCTGAGCCACCGACGCTCTTAATCGTAATTGACATGATTTTGTTATATATCTTTTCCTCAATATACATATAATAGAAGCAATTTTTATAAAAGACGAGTGTATTTTGTGTGTTCATGTCTTTTAGATGAAAAATAATCTTTTTAAATTTTAAGGAAAATTAAATACATTAAAGATTATTTCTCAATATATCATGTAATGTCAATATAAGTCTGCAATAATCCTTTGAGCGCACTCTTCTAATATCGTAAGTAGACGAGGTCGGAGCTTCGAGCTTACGAGTTCTGATTTCCCAAGACGCGGGGATTCCCGCAATCTGAGGCGATTCACCTGTTGTGCAACTCGCCTTATTGTGACGATAAAAGATCAATTGCTAGTTTTCCAACACCTTTCTTAGTTCACTACATGCCTTTACAATTACCATCATGATCTTTAGCACAATTACTAAGTATTATGCATGGTAATGTTGGTAGCGCTCGCGGAGGTTTGACTTTGGTTGTTCAGTTGGCACCACTGTTCTCTTGTTCATGTCAACTATTATATTACTCTACATCAGTTAAAAGCAGATTAATATAATTCAGTTTAATATTTTTTTTACTCAGGCGAATAAAGGAAAGTCCTCTCTTTAATCCAGTCTAAATGATCGATTGCTTAATTTCCTTTTTCACGTTTATGGGACGTAGTTTTTTCTGTATATATTTGCATAATTAAGGAAAAGGGTCCGACGAAAAAGAATAATAAAAGTTGAAACATTTGTGTAACTCGTCTTTGATTGCCTCACTACAAGCTTTTGTTTAAATCATTTAAATATCTAGGATAAAAACAACATTATGGTATTAAGATATAACTGTTTATTTTTTTCTGCGAATAGTATTAATAATGATAGAACTGTTCTACTTTGTAAAGAATTTTAATATTTATTATTTTGTACAACTTTCATACACACTTTGTATATCTATTAAGTTTTTATTGTAATAAGACATCGATCAGTCATCAATGTAAATCCCAGGCTCGGCGATTGAATGCACTCCCGGTACTACTAATCCTCCGGGATTGCGGCCAGCTCGCCGTCCTCGCCGCAATTGCCGTTAATTGTTAATTAACTACATCAAACATGAATACACCACTATTTAGATTTCTAACACAAGTATTTTTTTAATTTCTCATTTGCCATTATTCTTTCCGAGCTTTTACTAAACCTTAATAATATACCAATTTATTCGGTTACTTTGCTACAATATTAAATACATCTTGATAATGTTAAATGGCACTTAGTTAAAATTTCATACAGTCCGTTCATCAGTTCTAGAATTATCGTATCAAACATCCATGCCATGCTATCTAGACATACAAACATTCGCATTTATAATGCTATTATTTTTCTAACTTAATTGTCCTTGGCAATTATAATTTGACAGCAACGCACTGGGCCTGTCTTCCTCAGTAAAGGTTCAACCGGTAGACCTCCCGGCGGATAACCAATTAACGTCAAAGCGTGGTCACGATAAATTCCCGCCTTTTTAAGTCCTTGACTAATTAAACGGCTCGAAGGCATTTCTTTTGCAAATTTTAATTGTCTCAGCGCAGCGTAACGAACGTTTTAAAAAATAATAATCGTAATTAACATATCAAAAATAGCTTTTACGTCGCTCTAAATAAATTTGTGAAAGTCTTGACTAAGCATTTATTCCGTTTTAAAAAAAATTTGCAATTATAGACAAACGTAATTTTTAAATGCATTGTAATTATTTTTCTTTCGTGTTTCTACAATCACGAGGAAAATGGAAAAGTAAAATATTTTTTTCATTATGTTCTCTTAAAGTCCATTTCTTCTGACCGTATAAATAAACGTCAATTTCTAACGTATTTCTCTCGTGACTCGGGCCACACCGCGAAATGCAGCGATAAGTAATAAATAACGCGAGCTGCAGGCGACCGCTGAATTAGCTCCACCAGATCTCTCCGCAGCTGTTTGTTGCAGCTTGCAATGCGGAGAGGAAATTACATTCGTAATTAAGCACAAAAAGCGTTGCCGTTTGTCAGGTAGTCACGACACACCAGAACTGCTAAAAAGGTCAATGAACTATTTATTGTTTTTGATATTTTTGTCAAGATTTCTATCAAATAAAACTTTGGTTTTTTTATTATTTACCACTAGATTTCTTCTTCTAATTATTACAAAAAGTATTATTAAGGTATTACAATTGATTTTTAGTAAAACACGATTCTTGAATAATCTATTATGATGTTGTATAAGCATAAATACAGCAAAATAATAAATTCGTCACCGCTTAGTAGAGTTCTCATGAAATATATTGTATATCTATGTAGTGTACAAGATGTAGCATTATGTTCTGGCTCCTCCAACTCCTCGGCTATCTGAATAAAACATTTTTCATTCTTGCACTCTAATGAGAGTTGGGCCATTCACTCTCGAATGGAATGAGTAAGTGTTAAAAGAGCGCTCTAAGAAACCTTGTGCAAAGTCATTATGCATAAGTTACTTTTTATGGCATAAGAAGATTCATTTTGTTGAACACTTGTGCTAAAATCTATTGTAATTTTTAAATTTAACTAGCCTTGCTTGTTAATAGGAATATGTTTAATAGCATTTTTGCTATTACACATCGGTAGGCGCTTTTAAAAGTGAATTGGTGCGCAACTGCTAAACAAAGTAAATTTTACTTTGATCGGAGTATGCTCTTAACCTGTCGTAGGCAGAGTATAATGTAATCTTTTAAGTAAATAGTTAAGCTCAAATAATAACTAACAGGTAAACATTAGGCACCAGTTCCTATACATTTTTACATTTAAGTATGTCATATTTTTAGGATACCATCGAAAAATGTTTGAACTTATGACACGCAATCGCGCTCCACTTATCAATTGCACCAGAAGAGTAATTAGGACGTTTAGTTATCAGTGCGGCATTAAACCTACATCTTAACCTCGGTTTCCACTGCCGAAACATCCATAATAAGTATTTGGTTATTTTGTTTTGTTTTAAAAAGCGAACATGTGATTACTACAGAGTAAAAAAAACAAAAAGAAACGACAGATTTAAATGTTTGGAATACAAAAAATGTATAATTTTACAACATCTGGATAAAATGATCCACAAAAGAATAATATTTCACAGTTGGCACTTAATTTTTCATTCAGTAACGTCCGAGCGAGTAGGGCTGGCGATTTACTTTGTGTTTAATTAAAAAAAATTGTGATACGCATGTTTGAAATGTACTTTACTAAGATAATTGAACATATTAGTGTGGTATTAAGACACCGTGATTTATTCTGTTTAAATAATTAATCATCATCTGCCTTTGTCTGTCAACTGCTGGAATTCAGAATAAATATGAATAGTGAATGTAAATATGGTGCGGTTAATTGTCGAAAAGGAAACTTTAAGTTATTAAGAAAGTTGACAACCCTAAAACTAAGTTGTATCTCATTCGAACCGCGTGTTTCAAAGACATTTGTGATTCCAACGAACACGATACCAGAGGAATGAAAATCTTCATTTAAAATGTATAGTTTTATTATATATTTACAAAAGCTCAACAAATTCGTTGCAACATCAACAACTAGAGACAAAAGAAGCGATAGTAAAAGTTAAAGATTTATATACATTTTTGATAGCTCCTTACATCTCAATACTTTAAACATACACTTGCTTAATGATACCGGTAGTACCCGAGCCCGCCGTATCCACCGAGACCACCGTATCCACCGAGACCGCTGTACCCACTTCCGTACCCATTGTATCCATATTTGTAGGGTACACCGCCGTAGTAACCGACGTTTCCACCGTAACCTGAAATTAATCACATTATTATTGGTATTAACATTATGGGAATAATAGAGAAATTACCTCGAATAAGAGTAAATATGGATTGAGATTTTAGCTTCACCACGCTTCCAAAGAACTACGCTATTATATACATACGTTGCTTAAGGTACAGCTAAGGCAATAATCCTATGGTCGGGATAAATTACGATTTGCTAACAATATCTCTTGTTAATTCGTTACAAAATTTAAAAATAGAATGTTCAAACTTACCGGAGTATCCATCAAGACCGCTGCCGTATACCGAGCCATCTGTAAACAATTTAATATTCTAACATCAGTTCAAATTAGCTGTTTTATGGTACAAAATAAAATGGTCAAATTATTATACAAAGTATTTTTCCAATTTTTTATTTCAATGTTTTTTTGTAATAATATTATTTACTTTTTTCTCATTCAAGTGAAACCAATTATTTAAACCAGATGGCGCTGCCTCCGCCGTGTCGGTCGAGCGCTCGCGAGCGCAATGTTCAATGTTAAGGTTAACGTAATAGTATTGATATAATGTTCAATGTGAAGGTTAATTCACTTTTGTGTTGATACCTAAGGAGCCAGTTTTTCTTAAATATTGATTTATTTATAGAGGATTTTCTAATTAAAATGTTACATGACATATTTTCTTATAAGATTCCTTATAATATTTGTGTTTTGTTCGAATCGTAGAAATTTTGCTGTATAGTTTTTAAACTTATTTTCTTAGTTTAACTTTAAATACCTTTCGGCTTACATAGTTCGATGTTTTTCAAATATGTTTAATACTAATGTTATAAATAAAAACACATCAACGACATGAAGACGATTATTCTCTGGATCGTTAACTTTTATGGAAATTAGACTCTCTCAAATAGATTCAACAAAAAATTAAATAGATTTAGTAAAGTAAAAACTACACAGAGGTAATTGAATTTTGTTCATAAAAAATTTATATTGATTACACGTGAATTTGCCGTTTTTTGTTTTTCAAAAGTTTATGTTAACCAGATTCTTATAAATTATTAACTATAGGTGATTTTGTTGAACCTCAAAACTGAAAAGATAAGCAAAAGTCGAGTTAAAGCAACAGAAGGGGGCGCCTTCGGGAATTTTGAAGTTGCTTCAACTAAAAAGTTTGCAATAACAACTAAGTTACGGTCAACTTTTAAGAAGTGTCCCTTAATTCAGGCGGAAATTTTTCAAGGATTTCATTACTCTTTGTTTATTTGAAGCGAGTACATTAATTAAAGAAGTTTAAAATCGTCTTAACTTTAGATTGTCTATAGCTAGCGGGTGTTGCAAATAATTCACACTTTATAGTAGGTGCGTCGTAATTTCAGTTATTTAAAAAAATATAAAAAATTACTCTCATTTACTATATACTTTTGTTTAAATAAAATCACGCTATTTATTACGTTAACAGCTAATAAAAATGTCTTTAGGTATAACTTTTGTATGTTTTATCAATTAGTGAAAATATATAAGCACAATGCAGCTACTCACGTTCTAACAGCTAACGTGGGAAACACAAAACCTTGACACAACGCATGTAATTATCATTTTATATGTCACCTTTGATTACTGCTTGATAGACATATACATAAAGATATAATAGAGAAACTGTGCATTACAAAAACCTAAATCATATTTTAGAATTCCAAACTAAAACTTAATTTAATAAAATAATCAACTTATGTCCCCGTTTATATATCGTTATCTCCCGATCGTAAGAATAAGTACTCGTTGATAAGTAATCATTGGTACTACGAACTCTAAAGTATTAAACAGAGAATTAGACTTGAAGCCTATACTCGTCGGCTTACTTTATTTTTTATGAAGTAAATTGAAAACAAAAACTTTAGAAACTCGTACACTATCTCTGAATACAAAATGACTATAAAATAACTAAGACGAAGTGTACGGTAACGTTGGCATATAAATTGAAAAAGAATAAAACATTATTTCCAATATGGATAGCGACCAACTCTGGGAGCATTCTTTAAATATATCCAAGAGAATCGACAATGAGTCAAAGGAAACTTTAGCGTGGATTTTATTCAGAACTAATACGAGATGGAATCAACGCTTTGAATAGGAACTAGTTGGTCTACACATCGCGATATAATCTTTTGGTCAATTTATACATAGAATTTGTATTCGAAAATAATTCGAATTCTGAATATATTCAACGCTTTTTTTCATTAAAAATATATAGCAACTGTTCTCTTACCGTAGCCATTGTATCCGTAATACCCGCCGTAGAGTGGAGCGCTGTAGTAGCCTAGAAGATTGCCGCCGTAGCCGTGGTCCCCGTAGCCGAGACCGCGATACCCGTATCCGAGACCATAGAGACCTCGTTTTTCGGTCTTCTTAACTTCCTCGCACATTACGGTCATAGCTAAAGCGACAATCAGCTAAAAAAAACAATCATAAATATTATTATAGGACCTTTTAGCTGAATTCAAATAACATATACCTCGGCCTGAAGGTCATGATAAAGAACTTATAAAAGAATATTGGGACCCCAATATCAAACTCCAAAACAAATTACAACAGTTACACTAACCCACCTAATGTGCCTAGTATATTACAGGTACATGTAACAAGACACACCAGACGCAAACATAACCTCACTTCTTACACTAAACAAAGTTGCGCTTCGTCAACTCCAGTTTGATAATGCTCTATTGTTTAACAACACTTGTGAAATTTCCTGATATTTTTCGGACTTTGGAAAACAACAATGCCTATCTCTTTATCCAATTATGTAGGTAATTTCCTTTGATTCATTGGCCACTATTGTTCCTTTTGATTAAATTCATTAAGAAATCTATTAATTAGTATTTAAGACAGCCTTTGTTTTATAATAACTAGACTGGAAAAATAGGCCTACAGGTTCTTTGAAAATTAATCTGTGTAGAAAACACCTAAATAAAAGATGTGGACACATACCAAGTGCCTTCACTAGGGTTTTTAGAATGCAATATCACAATGATGTATTCATATGAGAAGGGTGAGAAACTTTATATAACGGCATTAAACTCAAGGATGTCACGATCAAATCTGACACACGTTAATGTTTATGATTATACATGAATTTAAAAATCCTAATCCACTATCTTTTAATTAAATATAAGACCATATTAGGAGATCAAAATCTTTTGCACAGGCATAAAATCCAGCACCTTTTGTGAAAAATTTATATTACCAACAATTTTCACAAACTGTGCTCTCACCGTTTTTCCTTCAAATTAGGCGATGTCAAACATTAGGGGCTGATATAGTGGGCTCGAATTATGATAATCTGGCATACAAGCTTGGGTAAAGCGTCAGGGTTGGAACTGTTATGCTAATATAATACTTTCCCGGGGATGGTGCGTACGTGAGCCGCTGTATTCCCCCTGATGAAATTCACAGAATTACAATTACCTATATCATTGTACAAAATTTTTTGCTGCTACGTTCATATGTGGCCTTTGTGAATTTTTTAAAACCACGTTTTTTTAATAGTATTGTCAGCGATAAACCTACTTATGAATTAAACAACTTAAAATATTGTATATTAACTTCATAATTTGAATTGTAAGCAATATCTAAACCCAAAGTAATAGTTAAACTTTTGAAAAGTCAACTGATGGGTGAAATAACGACGACCAAGTCAAGGCATCAAGAGCTGGAAAAACAAAACTCAAAGTAGTCCGACCGGAAATGTTACGGAACTGAACCGAATTCGTGAACCAGACCCTTCCTGTAGGATATACTTTAAAATAAACAATGTTATTCTTACCAAGAATTTCATGGTGATTGGTTTGTGAGTTTCGTTGGTGGTGTGGTAGAGGTTGAGTGGACACTCGGCGAATGATGTCTTGGAGCCTCGCAGACTGCTTTTATACAAAACTGACGGCGACTCCAATTTACTAGGCTTTTTTATGTTCCAAGGATATTGTGAGCTATGCGCCACGGCATAACGCACACGATGTCTATTGCTTTACCTGATATCACGTTCAGTATCACTATCATAGCTTGCAAATCCGTCAAAAACCAATAAAAAATTCAAATTATTTGTAAATTGAGAATTAATCAGATCCGTAAAATTGGATTTAATTCATGGTTCAAATTATTTCATATCATATTTTATTAGCTAAAATATCTATAGCAGCATAAAGTTGATTGTCTAGTCTACTTATATTTATTATCTATGATGGTTTGAAATTCGAAATTACTAGAAGTGTAAACCTTAAATTATAGAACATTCTTTATAATGTCAACATTGACCTGTTTGGCGTCGATAAAAAAAAAATTGATTATTTTTACTTTTACCAGCAAATAGAGAATAGGAACTTCGGCATTTTAACACCTGAAATGATGACCATAATAAAGTCGTTTAACATGGCTCTGTTGTCTTCATTTGTCGATCAGCTTCTTCTTGACAGAAAGATATAAAATGCATCGTCAAAATAAAACAATATGTCACCACAAACATGTACAGAAAACAACAAAAATATAGATTATTTACAGTATATTTTCATTTATAAGTATCTACTAAAGTGACATTTGAGATACTGGTCTCAGAAACCCTCGATAAGTGTAGGTGTTCAGTCATATCGCGTGACGTAACAAACGTATCACATAGACACGTCCAAAGCGACAGGACAACTCGCTTTGTTCAATTTGAATTTATATGAAGTAAAAATGTAAATTTGATTTCAGCCAGTCAGTTAATATGACACGACCGAACATTGGACGTGCAAAAGCTATCATCATATAGGACAAAATTAAGTTCATACATGCTTATATAACAGTTTTAAATTTCCTATACAACATCTTAAATTGCCGTAACCGGGCACCACGAGAGTGTCAATGTGATGAAGTGCCCGAGTGTCCTGGTGCTCGGGTGTCCTGAGGCCCAGGTGTCAATATGCCCGGGGGGGCGAGTGATGTTAGTCATCAATTCATTTTACTCTGCACGTTTGTGTTACTGGCGGCAGTCGTTCGTACAAAAGTTAGTGGCGTTAGTGAAAAATAAATAACACAATACGTAACGTTTCCCACGATAGCCGTTTTATTGAGACTGTGTCCTTTGAAGTCAATGTAGTTATTTTTTACTAAGGTTCTTTTTAAGATTTCTGATGCGATACGTGACAAGAATCATACCTACAGCCGACCTTCCGGATCCCAACTTGTGGCTCGTGGATCATGTTTGTTAATTATACGTTGATTTTTTTTGACAGCATTGTAGTGTCTGGAATGGATGGAATGGAACCTAGAATGCTCAATATAAGGAAAGCAGATAGAATAAGACACCCAGAAATAAGAAATATAACGAAAGTAAATAACGTTTTGAGTTTCGCACTTAAGTAAAAGTGGAAATGGGCGGGCCATGTTGCAAGACTAGAAGATCAGAGATGGACTGTTAGAACAACTTTATGGAAGGGACCACAAGGAAGAAGAAGAATAGGAAGACCGATTACACGATGGGAAGATGAATAAAGAAAGTAGTCGACACTACCTGGGCACACGTGGCTCAAGATAGAGAGAATTGGGCATCTTTGGAGGAGGCCTTTACCCGAACAGGGTTTCCTATAGAGAAGTTAAAAAAAATTATTTCTACCATGTATTTTTCTGTATGGAAATAAATGGCTTTATCATCTTATATATAAAAATCTCGTGACACAATTTTCGTTCGCATGCTCCTACGAAACGGGTTGACCGATTCTCGTGAAATTTTGTGAGCATATTGAGTAGGTCTGAGAATCGGCCAACATCTATTTTTAATCCCGCGCGGACGGAGTCGCGGGCGACAGCTAGTTGTTATTACAATATTGTAGTGTCCAAATTCATACCATGAGCAATTTAAAAGTCTAGATAGTGGCTTCCAGTATTATTTCCTACGTAAGTCATAAATAAAAAGTTCAAATCAAGATCATAAATGTAACTTAATTGCTAACAAAGAATCTCTTACTATTGACTATTGAATAGTGCCTTACAGAAGTGAATTTTGTACAAGTTCCTGCAAAATGTTCATTCATTGAATGAAAATTATGTTCAGTAAAAGATTCAATAATATAAGATGTATAATAGTTAAGCTACGAGGTCATTGTAACAGAACAGAGAGGTGTATTTGTTCTCGTATACCTTGTATTTGGTATTAATATAACATTGCAGCATTACCTCACAGTTCAATGCATTGTTCTGACGCGACCTCGTCACTGCTGCGGTGGTCGCTGTACCATCTGCGAACGTGACCACTTTACGCTCTGCGGACCATAGATACGAATAATAGAGAATCGTCGATAGACCACAAACTGGATAAAAAACAAACAATTTATGGTCATTATCTGTACCTTGTGTTGTTCATAACAATATACTTCTGTTTATATCTCATCTTACCGTAAATTGATAGACAGTTTGAGATGATAAGTTGGCCAAAAAAGGTTTTTATTTAGTTATTTTTAGGCAAAATGATTTTCTTAACATGGCGTATAATTACAATCTACGAGATAATCAAAGCAAATATATCTTTATTTAAATAATATGTAGCTTGTATCATTATGTTGAAAAAAAAAATGAACAATATTATCAACAAATCGCTACAAGAAATCCATACACGCTTCTCACAACTTATATCGTATAATATATTAATTAAGACTTCCGTTTGCTAATTAATAGCTTTACAACGAGGTAAGAAATAATTTAAAATTAACTTTTTTTGTTACTGAAAACATAAAATTGTAATTATTATCACCCTTTAAAATTGCTTAACAATAATATTACTATATATTCATTTTGGTGTAAAAAAATGGTTTTAATTTTGACGGCAATCAGACACTAACGCCATCTATCGTGTGTATTATAAAATAATATACCACAAATGACGGGAAAATAAATTTTTGGGATGTTTTATTTTATTTATTCCAGAACGTTACTAAATATTTTATGCATAGAATAGACGATATTTACGTTTTATTTGTCATAAAAATATACTCGTCATACTGCAACAATATTATGATTTATGTTACTTATTTACAAAAGAATTATTTAATGTAATAACCCGCTCTTTCAGAGAGTTTGTTTCGCACGGGTCGGACAACCCTATCCTCACGATAACTTCATTTGCAAATATTTGGAAAAATAGGGTTGTGCCAAATAAGTTGAAATATGTAAGAAAGTCCATACCATTTGTGACAGCTAAAATAAAAAAAAATCCAGTATGATATTCAAGTGTCTAAAGTTGATGGCAATCGTAGGATTTTTTGCAATTATCTATTAAATCCTTTGCAAGCTTTTTACAGTTCCTTTAAAATCTGAGCTATAAACAAAAAAGTTATAGGCAACCCTACAGTTATAATAAGGTAAGTGCAAATTGTAACAGACGCGTGTGTAACGGACGAGTTTGTTTGATGCTTTGTTATTTAATAATGAGTAAACGTGTCTCGTGTAAATCTCATATTTCCGATTCTTATGTGTTTTTATTATCTGTGTAAAATTATGAAGACACAGTTATTCTCGCTATAGATGTAGACTTAAAAGATTATTATATTTCTCCTAACTTCTTGCCCTGCAGATGTTACACATTACGTATTTGATCTATCAGAAAAAAACTAAATATGAGTTCCTTGGTGTACAAGTATTACACACTTTAAACCAACTTCGAGTTGTCTTTACAAAATGTTTTGTAATATTGTTGCTCTAAAACTGTCCTTAATAATATTTTGCGTTTGTTCGCTATTCAAATTGACGCACTTAACGCGCACGCAACTATATTTACTGCTGCCACGCAAACTTTGGACTTGCCGCATTATGTGTTTATTAAATGCGTGGATAATATTATGAACTTTACGCTTAGGATTATTTCATCACGTTTACATTTGGAGTTTTAGAAGTATTATGTTGATGCACATTTAAATTTTACGCTTGTATAGCAATAGGCCTTGTTAATATTTACAAGAGTTGTACACGTTTTATGTAAACAACAAATAGCAACAATGTTTGCTCGTACTTTAATCTTGACTGCAAAAGATTTTTAACAAATCAACTTTGTTAATGGTTGAAAATAACGCCATCTATTGGATGCATATTTAAACAATTTTTTTTAAAATATTGTAAAAACGAAGTCGATTGTCATTTGTTTCTAGACACAAAGTCCACAGCATAGCGGTCGAGTGACGTCACAATTTTCTCACAGCACGAATATGTCTCACACGGGTGTTTGCGTGTCCGTCTGTACGTGCTCCGCGACTAGCACTTCCTCAGGGTTACAATTACAACTCACATAATGACCATATTCAAACAAGGACAAATCTGTATAATTTCTCAGATTGTAATAGTATCAACATTATATGAACTTAACTTTTAGATACTAATTTTAAATCCTTAAATTTAAATGTTGTTTAAAATAAATAAATATAAATAGTTGTTCATCGACTGGGCGTCATTTCCAAGATTTAAGAAAACTCAAAACAACAATTATTAACATTACAATGGATATAAGTATGAAAGAATCTATCTTTATTACTACAACTCAGCCTCAATCGGCTACAATCACTGACTCATATTGTTTAAAGTATGCAGATGGCTATATAATAACATTCAAGCTTTATGACGGCTCGTGATTAGCTACGAACGCATGATAACGCACGTGGGTGCCAATGCCCTCCACTGCGGGTGTAGGGAAGAGCGCGCGGGTGTAACCCGCACCTGAAAAGAGTGAGTCCCGCTGATGCATAAATAAAATTGTATTATTCGCAACACCTTGTTCGAATTGTGAGAAGTAAAAGGTTTGTATAGCAGTATACTGACATTGTTTGTCCATTAGGCCGCCTGGGCCTGATGGAGGACCTAATGACTGCACTTGATTGATCACCGAACATCACGTCCTTTTAATTTGATTACCTTACGTCTTTACTTACGTATATTTTGTTTATTACTTGACGTTATATGTACATGAGTAACGTACATGATTACTGATAATTGGTAACACAAAAGGCAAGAAAACTTTTAATTAATTTATTAAATTACAAAACACTAACCAATTACTCCACAAACAATCAATATCAATAAAACAAATATAATATTTTCTCTATTTTATTTATTTTAAGAATAAATGCTTCTATTTTTATTTCATTCCTTAACCCTTAAATGGACGATTTTTTTTTTACGTTTTAAAAAAATATATTTGTGTAATCATTTATTTTTAATGCATAAAAATATTGGATAGTGCCAACATTAAAAAAAGTACAAAATTCGTTCAGAAATAAGAACTAGTTGTCAAAATTAACAAAAAAATAAAATAAAGATAATTTTATCTGTGATGTTTAGTATGTTGTTTAAAAACAACATTGTCCATTTAAGGGTTAAATTAACATTAAAAGTAACGTTATTTATTTTAACTTTACGTAATTGTTCACTCAATTATCAAAGATGTGTTGTATATAGTGTTTTGACATTAAGATAATAAAGTGGCCCAAAAACAGCGTCAGTAAATTCGACAACCGCCTCTGCGATAGTTGAGACGGGAGCGAGCGGATTGTAATCAAAGAGATCATATCCCAAATCATCACTCGCTGTTCAGTCGAGTCAGTTAAGACCCTCCTGATGGCAACGAAACATTTCTCAGTTGGCAGTCACACCATTCTCAGTGTGATAAACGATAACGCGATATAAAGTACTGCTTACGCCATCTATCAATGTGTTACTTAATTATTTTTATTAAAAATTTTATTTTACCTAAAAAGTTATTTATGTTTATTTCTCATTAAAAGATTTTTAATTAAAAAATTATTATACTATGGACATACAAAGTAACCTAATAAAAATTTGACTGCTATTGGGAAAGAAAATGACACACTAACGCCATCTAGTTGCAAATTTCATTGAATTATTTTACGGATAAAATTGTGATACGAAAATTAAACTTACTGCTCATCATAATATATACAATTAATATATTACACCAATCTATAAATATTTTGGTGGTTATTTTAGTTTCTCTTCTTCTTATTTTTACAACATTTCTTGTATATTAATTATTGCTTCGTATTGGCTCGCGTTTTTATGTACGGTTAAAAAAAACAAACCAATAACAGGAAACACTTTTAGATCTCTCTATGATTGAATCTCGTTTTAAAGGATTTGTGTAAATCAAAGTAAGACAGGCAGATAATATAGGAAATCAGTTGTTTTTGTGACGACGCGCCTACTTTGGAGTGATTTATTCTGTTTCTACTTTGTTTTATATTATTACAAATTTAATCACAATGATAAGGAGAAGGATATTTGTCATATTGATGATGATTATTTTTATAGCTAACCGCAAAAATGGTAAAAGGTTTTGGAACGATCATACGGTCAATTCTGATCAATTTATAATGCGAAGTATGATGCCCAGATATAGCTACTTGCGAATAATTTGCTATAAATTTTTTACAGGCGCTGGTTTTAACAAATATTTCAAATATATTGTTACACATTTAGAAAAAACGGCAAGGTTTAAAATAATTAGTTACTCATTAATAATATTTAAAATCTTCAAATTTTGTGGCCGCCGCTAAACATATCTGCTCAGTGGTGTACGGACCATCTGAAAAAATATTTAATTGCAATTTAAAAATTACGACTACATCATTGTATTAGAATTAAGTAATCACAACGAAATTCCTTTCAAGTTTATGGTTCTAAGAAATATCTGAAGATAGTAAAAATAATTTAACCTTACCGATTTGGAACCACTGGTTGGTCGGTATGCCGGAGTCTAGTCTTGCCGCAGAGATTGCCTCACGCATGGCCAGCGGTATTGCTACTGCCAAAGAAGTCCCCGGTTCCCCAGTAGCTAGAACGTAGAAAACATCACTTTGTTATATGAGTTATATCTACATTAAACCTATGTGTTTCATACCTTTAGCCCCAAGATAAGTGTTGGTGCTATAAGACTTCTCTCTGAAATAAATACGGAAATCTTGCGCAATGTCCTTAGCTTGTGGTACCCAGTAGTTCCACGTACGATCAGAAAGCACCTCTCCTGTGCTCGGTTCATATTCCATTTTTTCACAAGTCCAATATCCTAGACCCATGATAAAAGCTCCTTCGATCTGACGAATAAATACGTTTAATATTAAATAGTTGATCTAATTACAACATATAGAAGCAGCAATAGTTAACACTTACCTGACCAATGTCTATTTCAGGACTAACGCTTTGTCCTACGTCTTCTAATAGATCTACACGTATTATTTCAGATTGTCCAGTTAATATGTCGATTTCAACTTCGGTTACAATAACACCATAAATTTGTGACGAATTCTCGTCTCCTAAATTAAGAATTCCTCGACCTTGTAAGTCAATGTTAGATTTATATGCTTTCTTTACAAGTTCCTCCCAAGTGGGGTTTCCACCCATCTGTTTTCTGACCGGTTCTAATCTTTGTAGTAAATCTTCACAAGCTCTTTGGACACACAGGGCGACGTTAAGTGATGCCACACTTCCTGAAGTTGGAGCTGCATTAGGAGAAATAAATGTATTTTGCCCTTTCACTAAAATTTTACTCATGGGTATTTGGAGGAAGTAGGCACATATCTGAGCGAGCTTGGTGTTGATGCCCTGCCCAATCTCGATACCTCCATGTGTGATGGCAACAGTTCCATCATCGGAGAACACTGATACATTCGCCGATGTAAACGTAGTGTTCAGAGACGACCACCTCATGAAAGCTACTCTCAAGCCACGTTTCAACCATCTGTTTTCTACATTGAATTTCTGCACGGCCTCACGCCTCTCGTCATATTGTGATTTTATTTTTAAATTATCCCACATTTCCTGAACTGCACTACTAGCCAGGTCTAGGTTAGCTAGACGAACCTGGACCGGATCTAGGCTCATTTCGTAGGAAATTCTTTCCATTAACAGCTCGGCGTTTGCAATTGCTTCCAACGATCCTGCAACAAACATAGATGAAGTGTTATCTGGACTTGCCATGAATTACAAACAAATAACCGTAAGCTTCCACACCTGGTGACCGGATCCATGTGTTTGATGCGGTGTCAGTAACAACGTTGTACAAATTGTAGTTCCAAGTTGCTTTGTTGTAGCAGTTGTTGACGACCGGCACGGCGAGCATTATTAACGGCTCATTAAATATGTATCCGTTGTCAGAGTACAAGTTGCATTTCAAGTATTGTATTACACCAGTGGCGTTTACTCCCACCTTAAAAAAACAATTCATACAGGTACAGAAGACTGGCTTGATTAGACCTCCACCCCTTCTCTGCCTTTTTAAAGAAGAAAAAGGGAATTTGACGGGGAAAACGCGTATTGAAAGAAATATCCTATTTCCCTCCTCTGTTATTAAAGGTAGGTAACGAATCTGATTTAAAAGGGCAGCTATCGCTTCCGTATTTTAGTTATAACAAATGACTGCTAACTCATGTGTCACCTTTTGATCTAAACGCGTAAACACAACTCAAAGATTTCTTTTCTATAAAGCAGATACTGACCTCGTAATTTGTAGTACATGGACACCTTTTGCCGACGGCTCTGAGATTCGTTGTGAGCTTTTGTACAAAGCGACAGGGCCGACCGAGGCGCATGGTGGCGAGACTGGCGGCCACGATGCCTTGATTGTTGCGTGACAACTTGTATCCATAAGCGCCGCCCACTTGTCGAACGTACACATCTATCCTGTAAGTGGATTAATAATGAAAGTGATTGCAACTTTAATTTTATCTTATATATTTATAGATACCCCGCGGATTATATCATATATATTAGAAAGAATATTTAACTTACTTATTTAGTGAAATATTTAAAGCTCGAGAAATAACAACCTGTACGCCCATTGATAGTTGTGTTGCCGCGTGAACTTCTAATCCATCTTCTGATGGAATAGAAAGGCTGCACAAAGTTTCCATACAAAATGGATATTGTTGATAAATGGTCATGGATCCGTTTATAACTTTCGATACATCTGAGCCGTTATTTGTTGCTGTTATTGAAGTGTAAAGGCTCAGTCTATTCGGATCTTTTATAGCTTCTGTAACATCTATAACTGGTTTTTTAACGTTGCTGTAAGAGACGGTGACGAGCTTGGCCGCTCTGTCCGCGATCTGTTGCGTTTCTGCCACAATCACACCAACAGCTTGGTTGTAATATTGTATTTCACCACTACATAATATCTCTTCATCTTTTAAGAAAAACAGATCATCAACTGGACTGAAAGAGTTAAGTCCGGGTATATCTTTGGCGGAATAAAACGCTACAACTCCTGGTTCTTTCTAAAAAAGTTTCGAGTAACTTATTAATTATGCTTCTAAAAAAAACGCGTAGATTCTCTTTTTATAAACTGCATTTTAATATATTACTTTCCTACCTATTTGAATAATGATATGTTAACTAATATAATGTAAGATCTTACCAGAGCCATACTAGGATCAATCAAGTCAATATGTCCCAAAGGTACTGTGCTCAGCACGAATGATATGAACACTTCATTTTTAATAGGTGGCAAGTCATCACTATAAATTGTTTCACCAGAACACTGCCTCTGAATAAAGTAAAAGAAATTAGTCAAAAAGTTTGTTCCTTCTTCATTAAAGTTAGATTGAAGCTAAAGTAGATTAAAATAAGTAACAGGACTGCACGGTCAATTGACACTCTTGTATAAATATGTAGTGACTTACCAGTGCCTCGATCTTTGGAATGGGTTTAGTAAGCGGCCACAAAGTGGGGTCGGTCTGAATCTCCTGGGTACCCTGGCTCACAGGGCGTGTGTCGTGAATGGCCACTGCTCCAGAACGGTATCTTGCACCGACTACATTTGATGGACAGAGGTGTAGAAGACCCTAAGACATAAAAACAGACATGTAAATCTTCAAAAAACAACAATATAAATCGAATAGTTTTAGTAAGAACAGAGAATTTTACCTTATAAAACAGTCCAATGGCAAGTCGTCTTCTATACTCTACGGAAAGCTTGGGCAGCTCCCGTGTTATGACCAGTTCATCATTCAGTACTTTGATGGCTGCCTGTAGGGTCTCGTTTGAGAATAGATACTTTCCCTTCAAGTAACTTTCAGTTTTACTGGCTCTGGTAAACGTCGGCGATAGACCACCAAATACTAACCTGCTCTCTAGTACGTTACTGTTTTTATCAAGTTTGTAAAGAAATCCTGCGTTGGTTATAGCATGGACACTTTGTGATCGGGGCATTATCTGTTGTAAATGATATTCACAGGTAAATATTTTTCGTTTATTTACAAGAAGGAAACTTGAATATATCATGACTATCTCACCTTATAAGTGACTAAATTGTAGTCTTCAGACAAAGGCGGACAAAGTATGTTCAGGATTACTTTTCCTGTCATATCAGTATTTAAAAATTCTTGCATTGTTACAACCTTTTTCTCTGTAGAACTTACTGAAATTGCATAGATGCCATTTATATGAGAAGAACATACATATAAATTCGAATTTGAACGAGTTAAAGATTTATTAGGTTTAAACTGTTAAAGTCTGGAACTACAGATCAAAAATGGGTTTTAATATGAAACATATTTTATATGGACTTGCCAAGAAAATGTACGTACAAATAGTCAATTGTGCACCAATTGTTTCGAACAAAAGATATAAGTCAGAAGCAAAGTCACGATGTTTGTGTTTCGTCATCAAGTTACCAGCTATTGTACCGATCTGAAAACAAGTATCATGATTTTAGAATCTTTTAATTTTAAACATAAAACGTAAGCGTCTCCCTACAAGTATTTATCCTCTCCCATATAGCCACTTGAATTGGTACGACCAATAAATATATTAAGCAAATTATACAATAATATAGAGTATACTTACATTCCTCACAGGAATATGAGCTACCATTTGAATGTGATCGTGTAGTTTCCCTAAATAACTAAAATTTGGTTTCTCAGCCGACAAAGACTTGAAAATATCCAAAGCCTGCGAAAGTGTAGTCCCAGATCCCAAAACTAAGTTCTGATCGATTACAAATCCTTTTAATTCTGATATTCCACTGATATCGATTAACATCTGTGGATATTCCGCTATTGGATACGCCCCTGGAATTGTAAAGAGCACAAATTTAATTTAATACCACTTTTATACCAATTAGATAGTTAATTACAGATTCAAAAAGGCCAATCAGAAGATTTAACGCCTGATTATCAAGCTACTTTCCGTGGCTACTTTTTGATACTTAAGAATGTATGATGACTATGTAATGACTTTTATTTAACAAAGGACTAACATATATTCTTACCTTTTGCTGTGTTTCCTGCAACTAACATATATGAGTCTTGTCCTTTAGATAATATAATTTTAAAAACCTCATTTAAGTCATATACCCTGTACCAATCCCTTCCGTCTTGAAGTTTTATGTGCACTGTTTTATCAAGTTCCTCTTTTAATACCATACACCAGTCGTAGTCATCGCAATTGGTTTTTTTACATCCATCGCCCTTGCGCTTACATATATGCAAGTCTTCTATATCCATGATTCCTTTTGATACAGGAGCATCTACTGCGAATGTTTTAAACGCCTCAAGGATTGTCCTGTATCCAGTGCACCTGCAGATGTTGCTTCCAAACGATTGTTCTATTTCAAGCATAGTTAAGTTTTTTCGGCTTTGAAGTAAACTGTAAAATTAAATTTATCGTTAGATCGAACTGTATAACAAGGTTCGTTAGTGAACATTGAATTAAATAGTTAGTAGGTTTAATTAAATGTACCTATGCATGGCCATGACCCAGCCGGGGGTGCAGTAGCCGCACTGCGTGCCGTTGTGCTGCGCCAGCGTAGTCTGCACCTGACTGTAGCCCGCCAGCCGCCCGCCTGCTCCTTCCACCGTCGTGATGTCCCAGCCCTGGCACGACGTCACCAGCACCATGCACTGACAACGTAATCACACCATAAGCTTAATACGAGCACTATGTGTTGTGTGGTGTGGCGAGGCGTTACCGAGTTGACAGCGGTGGGCGGAGTGTCCGGGCCCCGCACCGCGGTCACGATGCAGGCACCGCAGCCTGCTTCCAGGCACATGTACTTGGTGCCGACCAGCCGCAGCTGGCGACGCAGGTACTGCAGCAACGTCACATCTGTGTTCACTTCGCTACCAACTGAGAAAATAATTAGGTGCAACAAATTAATATACACTTTTCTACAATAGGTATACTTTGGACTGAAGGAAATTAGGAGAACGGATAGGATAATTTATCTGTAGCTAGAACAGGAAAAGTATGAGCCATCTCAATACTAGCAGAATTATAATTATTAATTTATATTGTTTTATATAATTTATTTTATCTTTGTTTTTCTATTATATTATACCACTTACCTGAATATTCAACTCCATTAACCTTAAAGGTAACGCGATCCATAATTACATCAGACAACTGAACATACAAAAGAAACTGAGGAAAAAGTTTGCTAAAATATACTTAAACTTTGCTTACATTTTTATATCTTACTAATATTATAATTGCGAATGTTTGGATGGCTGTTTGTTACTAGGCATCAAGAGAACGACTCATCGGATCCCGATGAAACTTAGTATAATATAAATAGAATAAAGCCTGAAAGAACATATACGTTCTGTATTTTTACTCGATAACTCAGCAATAGTTCGACATATGTTAAAAAAATTACAAATAGTACAGCTGTTCAACATTTTTTTTTTACTTTCGCGCGTATGAAGTCGCGGGCAAAAGTTACACATGAGATAAAATTCTTGGTCTTTACTAAACTAATATGTAAAATAATTTTATTGTTACAATGATAAAAATGCATCATTGAATTATATCACACCTATATCAAGCGAAAAAATGCTGATTTTGGTTCCGCAAAAATATATTTTAAATATACAAAAAATAAGCAAATGCGTCAATAGCCTTATGGTTAAGGTTCGAATACGTAATATAAAGTAAGGATACGGATTCCCGATCACGAGGTCGGGGGTTCGAATCCCGCCATTCGACTATTGTCGTAAACCATATCCT